ACATAAATATTACTTAACTAGCGGCTCACCCTCGCTTCGCTCGGGTTCGCCTCTAGACAAACAAAAACAAAACTATCCTACGGGAACCGTACATTTTTCCGGAATTAAAAATAGCCTATTTCTTATTCTGATGTATAAACTATATTATTGTAAAGTTTCATTAAAATCCAATCAGTAGTTTTAGTGTAGGTACTATGCTGTATAAGTTACTATAGTTTTTTAACTATCTGGGAAATATAACGGGAACTCTTGAATTTTCTGGTATGAAAAGTATCTAAGACGTTGACCAGAAATATAAGGTACTACCATGCAAAATATAATTTAAATAGATCCAACAGTTTCGGAGATTATCCCGTACAAACAGACAAACAGACAGACAGAGAAACAAAAAAATTGAAAAAAAAAAACATTGGATTTGTTCTATTTCTCTTCTTACATCCCCCTGACTCGGTTTTTAGATACATATACCGCAAACAACGTAGAGAATCAAATGTATCCATAGATATATTATACTTTGTTTTTCTACCTACCATGCGAAGACGCGGCCAATAACTAAAGTGAAACAAAATATTTTATCGATAAATTATGTTTTAATTTATTATACAATAGTAAATAATAATTAGGCTTCATCAAGACAATCAAGTAAAGCTATAAAAAGTTATTGCTTGTAATCATCTGACAAAACGCAAAAGCCACTCGAGTCCAATATAAACAGTATATCAAAAACGATATTGTATTTGCGAGGACGGCTTTTATGTATAATGCCCGCTCTTAAGGTTGATTGGAATATAATTATTTAATGAATTGAAGCGTTCCAACATCCATGCCACAAACCTTTATACATACCACACGTGAGATACCTACACAAAAAATATATTAGTAAAACCTATGATAAGCGTCTGTATGTCACGCTATGTTAAAATTACGTACGGTTTTGAGAGGACTTCTTCAGGGTAGGAATTAGACATTAGTCTTAGAAATTAAGCCCTTATATTATGAATATAATAAAAGAATCTGAAGTATCTACTTGTTAAATTAAAAAAACTGTCTCAAAATGAGTTTCGCGTAAACTAAATTACTGAGTTTTGGTCATTTTTATACTTTTGTCAGTTTATTGGCTGAATTCTTAATAATTATCTCAGAAAATGAATAGATTTTAACAAGAATGGACGTTAAAATCGGTTCATTTTTTGAGAAAATTGCTGATTATGAGTATAGAGTACTTTTTATGTTAAACAATAATTTCATTATTTTGTAAAACAACTTATTTTGTTTTTTTAGTTATAAACTCTTGAATATCTAATATCGTTACGGATTTACCTCTAAATCTTTAAATAGATATAGAATATTAAATAGGTATAAAATCTTGTCCAAGGTTTAAAGTGAAGCGTGATATTTAAAAGAAAACGCCTCATCAATAGTATCAATAACAAACTAGTCAAACGTGTATCCTCATTGTACACAATTTTTATAAAAACTTAAAAAATAATTAAAACCGACTTCCAGGCACTAAAATGTAAAAAATAACTAAACGGAGGTTTTCATTTAGAATAGATACCTACCTAATCAGATATTTTCGAAGTCGGTGCCAGCCGATGCAAAGCAAATGTAATAGGTATATTTCGATACGTAAAATATATATTTACCTATTAGATATTCATATCTTAAAATATTGTCGTGTGGCACCGACTTCGAAAATATCTGATTACTTATCTATTCTAAATGAAAACTTCCGTTTAGTTATTTTTTACAATTTAGTGCCTGGAAGTCGGTTTTTTTTTAAGTTATTAATTTTCCATTTTTAGTGTAGACGTAATAAGCAGGTAATTGGTAAGAAGAAAGTTTTTTAATAACATATTCGCTTAAACAATTTATTTGAAAAATATATTTATTGTACATTTTTTTTAAAACCGCTCGACCGATTTCGATAAAATTTATATGGGACCATCTGGAGAGTATACCCTTTGAAACACGAAAAAAAATTCCAAATCGGTTCAGGCGTCTTCGAGTAATCGGTGAACATACATAAGCAAAAAAGAAAAAAAAGAGATTCCGACGAATTGAGAACCTCCTCCTTTTTGGAAGTCGGTTAAGAATGAAATCCATGCCATTCATAATATTTTATTTAGATGTTGAGGTAGCTTTTTAAAACTATTATTATAATAACTCATATTTATGAGAGATAAGTTAAAGACAAATAAAATTCTGTTCATCACTTCACCCTGCATCTTATTTAAATCTGGACTACCAAATCATAATTCTGTTCAGATTTATTTTCAAATACATAATATGTACTTACTATTATAATTCTCAGAAGGAAAACAAAGAAATATATTGTTTTTATGTGAAACACAAAAGAGGGCAACTGCGCTTGTTGAATTTAATCATCGTCGGATGTTTGTTGCACTTGCAAGTCATTGTATGGGCGTATCCTTTGATTACTAATAGCTTTTACACTACTGTTAAACCTTCAATATTTCTCAGTTGCAATAAAATGAATATTTTGTTCTTATAATAATATAGCAAATAATATTTGTCTATATTTAGACACAGAAATAAAACATAATATACAATATAAAATGGATGTTACAGGTACTAATCATGTTTACCATCAATTTGAACTCAGGTCAAGGTAATTTGGTAATTAAATGTAAATACAATGTTCACATTTGTACATATATGAATAAAATTATCTTTAAGTTTGTGACAAATTCAAATTACTATACTTATTATACACTTATGAGTTTTATGATAGTTTTAGTTTGTTAAGAGGTAAAGTTATACCTCATAATATTAATGTGCAAACTGGAAAATATATATTTGAGTTACATCAATGACAACTAGAAATATATTTTTATTCGCGTAGACGTACATATTCGCTTCTGTAAATGTAAAAATTATAGGAAATACAACTGAAAACGTAAAATAAATTTGTTACTTGTATGGTTCGAATCGAACATACTCGTATGTATCTAAACGTTATTTCAAGGTGAGAATATGATATTATAATACGTATTTTAGTTTCCTATTAGCGATCTTGATTTTAGGAATTGAACTTGTCTAAGGAGAAATGACACTGATGTAAAAAAATAGTCCCGCTAAGTTTTTCCTGCCATTTTTACTGGACTGTGACTTTTTGTTCCCAAACTGAATGGTACACCTCTTTAAGACGTTCAGTAAAAAAATGTAAGAATTTAATGCGAAATAAAATATTTTGAATTTGTGATATATGATACCGCAAATATTAAAATAATTTCAACGTTAAGAACTCATCGCATTACAGAACTAAAACAAATTGAGAAGATAAGTGAATGCCTGTCAGAAAAATGTAAATAAATGCCTGTCAGCAACTGTCTGACTCGATAGTCGTCAACGGCTACTAGTTAAGATTATGTACTCGTATGTTGAAAGATTAAAAGATACCTATGCTAATATGCACACTATACATTTTGCAATAAGAATTCGGTGTAGGAGACGAATTATATGCTATTAACATAGACAATAACAACGACATACATACAATTACGACATACAATTGTTTGCTGCATTTGTTTGCCGCTAAGCAATTCGATTACGATCCAATTCAGACGCCACTGAAAAGATGGGGGCCTAATTGATTTTACAGACCTTCCATTATAATTAGAGAAAGTTTTAAATAAATCTATGTATTTATTTATCTTGAACTGTCACTGGCAAAATGTTTTATTTCGATTTTAGCAAACATTGATAAAGATGAAGCAAGACGATTGAAATAATAACAAAATATAGAGGCCTATAGAATATCTACATCCATAGGAACTATAGGATCCATTCCTACATTGCATCTGTAGGAACTAATTCCTAGAAGCAGACAAGCAAGTCGCCAGCCCACGCTTAGTTTTCTCATCGCCAGAGCGTTTCATCTGCAACTCATTTGTATTCGCGTCCCCAACACCGGTTATGTAAGAACGCCTTGTAACAAAGCTACGACATTGGCGATTTAGTAATGCACGCAATGTTAATATATTTACATTACATTTACTCTAGACAAGTCATATTGCATTGTTCTGAATTATTATATTGAATTTACTGTGTGATTTGATTGTGTTATTGAAATAGTGTTCATTTTAATCTAGAAAAGGATATTTTATATAGATATTATCTATATTGAGAATATTTCCCAAGTGTTCAACCAAATTAATTGAATGACTTAAAAAATGAAGAGCTTCATTCGGGCGCTTTTATTTTGTTTTGTGTATGTTACGCGATATCTTTACTCAATTTTCAGGATTCTTTTTTTATGACTGGATTATATTTCTATACAAATTTTAATAACAGAATACCACATACCTCTAATGGTTCAATATTTAAAATAATATTAAAGCGGGTGAACCTTTTTAATTAAATAAATTATCGTAAAAAATATTCATAGTTTTCCAGTTCAGTTTTTGAATGTACTCAACCGATATAATATTTATGTATTTATACCAATACTGTATTTGCAATATCAAACTTTACACGGAAATATAACTTGTGACATTTAGTGGGTGTAGAATCGTAGATACGATAAAGTAAGGTTTATACGAGTAATTTTATTCTAATACGATAATTGAGTATTTCACTGTCTCCACAGTTGTTAAGTCATACTAAATATTACTATCTAACACATAGGTAAATCAGAGAAAAGGTTACTTCCGATTATCAACAGATAGTAGGAGTAAATATAGGTATGCCGCGTGTTATCTCGGTGGGTGGTAAGATAAGATTACAAGGACTATTTCAAAACAACCTTTTTGAGTGCGACCAAAGCCATGTATCTCTTGAGTCTGAGCACAGTAACAATAAAATACAATTAACTTTATAAACTTTGTATAGGAAGCGTGACTGCCTCTCCCCATCTAATGATATTCAAGATCGTGAGGTCTATACAGATAAGAAGGCAAATCAAATGTTACTAAATATGTATCGTGTAAAATGAAAACGCTACAGTTGCTTGAGGGTCGGCAAAATGGGCAACTAACCTCGGACGGTGGCTGCAATTGAGACGATAGCTCGCTCCAGGGTCTAAGAAGGGCACGCTCCGAATCCGCGCCATTTGTAGCAAAATTTACACCACACTTTCTCCAGAGTGAAAGGTCATATAGCCTCTGCCACGGTACGCCGTCATTTTTCTTTTTTCTGATACTTCCCCGAAGCGATGGTGAACGCACAAACGGTTCGTTAGATATACCATTTTTACTTGCGCCTCGCCATGGCGGTTTTGATGAGACTCCAACAGGAGCGTTTTTCCCGTTATAAGTTCCTGGGGAACTTTTACGTAAAATTATATTTTTATTTGGAGTTAGATTTTTCTTTTTTTCGTCTGTTACTTCGTAATTACATAATTCATCGGAATTCTTGGCTCCATCGAGTTTTACTTCTTCTATTGTGACGACGCCGGATTTTTTTTCTCTAAAGCTTCCTCTCGATGGAGTTCTTACAAATGTATTTTTCCATCTTTCGCCATCTATTTCATCTTGTAGAGTTGAAATTGTATTATCATCAGCATATCGCATACGTGCTGTTTTCATCAAAGATGCTTTAGTGTTTTGCGAAAAGAGTCTCTCGCAGGGATCGGTCGATTTATGCTCTGATCTCGATTTAAAGGTCGTTTCTGAATCTGTATCGCTGTGGCCTTCATAGGAGCTGGTGCTGTTGCTGAAGCTTTTGCCTATTGATCCATTATTTTTAGAGAAAGGGCTATCAGTTCTGACAGCCGGACTATCAGCCCTGACAGTATCTTTGATCTCAATGAAGCAATCACTTCTAAAAGATTTCTTTGATTGCATGCTCGTGTTAGAGTCAGATTTTGCGAGGGGATTAGGTTTAGTGTCAACACAACCATGTGCGTGCGCCTTGCCGGTGCAATGTTTGTGTATCTTCGCCAGCGCCGCCAGGGTCTTCGTGCCGCCGGGTGACAGTTCGTCTCCGCATCTTAAAGATTGTTCAAATGTCCCTTGGACGTGAAACATTTCTCTTCATAAAAGAATGCTACACTTTTACTTTATATTGAAATAAACATAATATGATCAATCTAACATGGTAAATGACACTTCACATATTGAATTCTTTTGTTCTTTTAGTAACTGTTAGAAATAATCGGAAGTTTTACGATTTGGTGCAAATGAACACAATTATTTTAAAAATTATTAATACTTTACAAATCTCAGCAAATTAGAGTAAGTCGACATCTCAGAAATATCGTTAGAGCTAAGATGTAGAATTATTTTCTTCAGTGGGAGATATTTAAGTTAAAATAAGCGATATATTTATAAGTTAATTACTTTAATTCGACGGCATTCTCTAGTTTTATGTTTTACATTATTATTTGTTAAGTGTAAATCGATAAAGGCAAACTATAAAATATATGCTGATTATATAATTATCGAATTTAAGAGAACCAACATAAGTGTAAAATCCAAAAACATAATCGTATTTCCTTAAACAGTAACTGTTCCAAACGAGCCGCATTTTACTAAGATAGGTTTCATATTAAATCATGGTGTAATTTGTGTCAACGTCGGATTATTGTGACTAACCGTCTACCTCGGCAATCGTGCCCCTCTTGTAGTCAAGTTTAAATTGTTTGGATTATGTTGATTGCATAAGAAATTATTATGCGATAATTTTATTTCTATTAAAATTATAAAATAAAATATTAATCACATCGTAACTGTCAATTATAGTTTTTGAAATATACTCTACAAGCGGCTTACTCTCGCTTCGCTCGGGTTCGTCACTGGTGTTTTTATAAGAAAAAAATATCAACATTCTAGTCCTTAAGACCCAGCCGTCTGAGCGTTGATGAGTCAATCAATTACAAGCAATTTTATATCTTATAATGATAAAATGTATGTCCTGGAGATACACATCTACGTGGTCGAATCTGTTAACACAGTTATCACTGTGTCAATATTTGGACTAACGTTATCAGCACTTAAACGCACCAGATCGTGGGAATGAGGTTTGTCTTTTTTAAGTTTAGTACTTAAAAAGTAATAAAATCTCCACTTTTAAACTTATATTTTAACTTATTTGTGCATGTTTATTAAAAGTAAAACTTTTACGTATAAAAATATATTTGAAACTTAAAACGTAAAATTAAGTTTAAAAGTAAAACTTTTACGTATAAAAATATATTTGAAAGTACCTAATATAAATATAAATATTTATTTTTCTGAATTTTTCTATCAATAACAATTGCTCGCCGAACAAACACCCACAACTAAACACACTCGACTGTAGAAAAGCAAAACAAAACGCTGTTGTTAAAGCACTTAACCGCCGTGAATCTTCATTAATCGAAAATATGCCTTTGTGTCTTATGCCGATAGAAGCTAAGTTTTATTAGCTGGTTCTGTGGGATTTGTTGACTTAAAATACGTGTGTGTAAATATAGCCTAAATACACGATCGTTGGTCAACATTGCATGCAAATTGGTCTAGCGACACAGATCCCACCTATTCGATAATATTGAAATTGTCGTTGCGCAATTTGTCTCTACTGTACATGCGAAAGACCTTTCGTTTTCATACGCATTTGTGGCTCGATTCATAATTCACAGATAATGTGGGATGGCGATTCGACTTCTAGCGTAATAAATTTGTTCACATGGAATTATAGCCCCATATATATTTATTAAATATAATGAGAACTAAATAATAATCAATATAAACTTAATTTTAAAAATAGAAAATATTTTTTGTAAAGGGTCATCAGATTATCGTTAAATAATAAACTAATAGCTTAGCTACATTTTCTTAGAGGATACGTACATGGAAAAATATTTACGTAGCAATACAGGCGACATTTAAAAAGGCCACAAACTATCAACTTGACCTCGGTTATAGTCAATCTATGTACTTAATTTTACCCAGTCCGACCGTTTCAGCGTAAGGACTACCTAAACAACATACACATACATACATTTTTGCACTTATAATAGGAACAAGCGACTCACCCTCGCTTCGTTCGGGTTCGTCTAGTTAGTATGAAATACAAATCTTTGAATTTCTCGGCTTTTCTGAACTATATTATATTATACATATAAACCTTCCTCTTGAATCACTCTATCAATTTCTGAAAACTGCATTAAAATCCGTTGAGTAGTTTAAAAGATCTAAGCGAACAGACAACGGAAGCGACTTCATTTTATACTATTTAAAGATGTCATGTCGATTTCCTAAAAACCAAAGTCAACTGAACACATACAGCCATCCTTTTTATTTCTATAAAACAGTAAACGAGTTATTTGTTTTAACCTATTCAATTTTAAGCTTGGTATTACGTGTTTTGCAACAAACAACACCAACTCCTACCAGTCAGTCAACTGTTAGTCTGATCGTTCGTGACTTACATTCAACTTATCATTATATGTACAATATATCTTCGGATATTATCCTATCAGTCATTTCGAAATAATAGCAAAGGGATAACCGCATTGATATTGTTGATAAATAACATTGATGCTTTCCTTAAGTAGGTAGTTTAAGTAGTTCCTTAAAGATATTATTTCATAGAGGAATAAATATGTGGTGTTAACCTATAATTTTATGTAATATGTAACATGTATATATGATATTTTCGCCATATAAATCAGAGATAGTATGATTTATTAGCAATAAATATTACTCTGGTCACACAGTCTATAACACATCATAGGTTATGAAAACCTAAGTGTTCATTAGTTTTGGCGAGTCACACCCATTTAGTTAAATTATAAACTTATGTAACTGATTTAGACGATGTATTTTATAAAATAAAATTATCTTATTAGAATAAAATAAATTTATAAAATTTTTAATGTTTGTTACAAAATGAAGGTCTACTTCTGTTTTGAAATTTTCTTAATTCTTTCCATTAAAATATACAAACTTGTAACAATTTTTCAACCTGTTTTGTTCATGTGAGCTAGTGGGTGATTGAAACTGGTTTTAAATATTGTAAGCGCTTCATTATGTCTGATTTCCAAATGAAATGAAACTAACTACAGTACTAGATTATAAATTTAATTATTTTTTTTTAATTCAATTAACGATTACACTGGCACGCGTGAAGCACTTAATCCAGTAATCATACGCCAAAATACCTTACATCACTTTGTAAAAGAGCTGATACTACTTAAACAATATACTATATAGAAATACTTAAATATTCCAACTATTTTATATATGTAGGTAAGCAATTTAGATTACATGTGACATTACATTATGATTAACTGATTATACTATTAATAACTTTTATATAAATTTATAACTGTCAAAATATGTTCTTTTAATATAAATGCTATTAAAGAAATTATCATTTTAACTGTTAGCTGGCCAGTTACTTCTTAATGTGTTAATTAACTTTATATGTACGATGGACATAAAATTATTTCTTCTTTTAATTGAAATGCAACTATAATATATATAAATATAAAACCACACTTTAGCGCTAGATGCGTATTTATGGTGCATGACGTATACAAAGAAAATACAACTAATTGGAATAATAGTATTTTAAAATTATAAGTAGGTAAACCGTTAATTTATACTAATATTATAAAGAGGTAACGTTTGTGAGTTTGTGACGTTGCAGGGAGTCTTTGCATCTACTGAATCGACTTAGCTGAAATTTAGTAAGAAGATAGTTTGAGACCCTGGGAAGGACATAGGACACTTTTTATCCCGGAAATCATCCCTTAAGGGGGTGAAAATGGGAATGAAAGTTTGTATGAGGAATCAAGTTAGGGACGAATCCAAACGCAACGAAGCGAGGGTGAGTCGCTAGTATACCTAATATAATTACAACTAGCGACTCACCGACGCTTCGCTTAGGTATGTTCCTATGTGTCAAACAGTAGCCAAAAACACCAGATTATCTGAATCACACCAGATTATCTGAAACACCTGATATTCCGTGAATTAAATTTCATCTAAAACCGTCCAGCCGTTACGGCTTGAAGATTTAATGAATAAACCTACACACATATATGTACATACAAAAGTTCAAAAATTTTATTTCACATCCGCAATTCTGTTAAGTTTCGTATCGTAATGGAAAAAGTTAATATATAGTTATATTCAATACTGCGCACAATAATACTCTTGATGGAAACGTCTCGCCCTTTATAAATAGATTTAAAATAAGCAAAACACAACTCAATTAACAAGTTAAGCAGGGAGCCCAAATAAAGTATGTGTTGACGCGATTTATACATTGCTTTGTAGATACTTACTGGGAATCGTACAGTATGGACACGCGTTTTATTGTAATTCATATTTATTGCCGTTTCTTCCTTTTCGGTGCATATTTTAAATTGTTACATGATGCTATCGCGATGTGATAAATTATCTTGTAAAAAAGTTAAAAGAAGTATTCGCGTGGCTCATGTATTTATAATATTATATGTATAAAGGCAGCGCCACCTTTTGGAAAACTTTTTACTACTATTATTTGTTACTTCCGGTCTATCTTTGCACTAAACTTTATCGAAATCCGCCCAGTCATTTCAGCGTAAAACATCAAAAGTGTATATGTACGAGAGAGATTTAAACATACGCCTTAATTAATATAAACCATCCTCGAGTACTTTAATACGTCTTAAGCGATAAATAATGAGGGGTTGAATAGTTTGCCGAAATTTTTAACAGGTCAGGTCAATATAAAATTAATCCCGCAGGGTCGCAGCAGCAACTTTGTCGTACCGTACGTGTCCTAGATACGTAACACAAGTGGTGTTAATCAGAGATGCAGCTTTGGATTCGATGATAAGGTATAAATTAGTACTGGAAAATAACTCTCACAAAAAGTGAGCGAAGTCGCGGTAAGCTTTAATTATAAGTTTATTTATGAACTAGCGGCTCACCCTCGCTCTGCTCGGGTCCATCTTTAGATACGTTTTAAAGTTTTGTATAAATTTCTCAGAGGTGAGATATTTTCTCGCAGTAAAAAGTATCCTATATATTGCACTAGACAACCAGCTACTATT